TCAGTTATTCATTTCATTGTGGAACTTGCACTTTAAAGGGAAAGTTCACAGAAAAAAGTAAAATCCACTCATTATCTACCCACCACTATGCCTATGGAGGGGTGGGTGACTCCAAAAAAACCTTTTGGAATCTCAGGGGTAAACGGTGTTGCAGCCAAATCCAATATAATTGAAGTAACTGGTGACTCATCTTCAGATAGGAAAGAGTTAACAGACAGAATCCACAATGTGCATAACAACCATCCACCTGCTACTCCACCAATAACATTTTAGACAAATGAAATATACACTCATCATGGTCCAAAGAAAAGGAGCCGTGAGGAAGAGGATTTAAAAATGTCCCACACAAATATGTGATCCAGTGTTGGTATTGACATCGACCAGACCACTTTAAGTAGTAATCTGCAGCTGCTGAGAGTTCAGTGACAAGATTGATACATCTCTAATGTAGGCTAATCTATACTACTGTAAACATGGTGTTGCAGCGAGTAGCTTGCAAATTAGAGAGGCATTAAGAATGAAATCATGAAAACAGCTGGTTTACACAAACAGATTATGTATGGATTAAACTAACGAGATAAAGTGGGGTGATTTGTGAACCATTCTGGTGCTGGCTATAGACTGTGTATAAAGATGGACAATGCAACTTCACTTCCTCCCACGATCCAGAAATGAAATGAAATATCAAGTATGCAATCGCTGCCTTTTTGTGCTGCGGTAGCCATCGGGTGATGGAGCTGCAGTAGCGGGGGCCCGTCGATACGAACACTCAAGTCAGTGCGAGTTAGTCTCAGCTGTGAATCATGATGTTTCAACCCATTTCATAGCATCAAATAAGTATTTAAAGCTAAACTTAACAGTGAAAAAATTAGCACTTGAACATAAAACAGAATGATAAGAACTGCCTTCATTGACAGAAACCATTGTTTTCATTTGAAGTGTAGCCCACTTTGACTTTTTTGTTTGGCCCGAGTTCTCTCTGCTAACATGGAGGAGGCTGGGTTAATGACCTATCCTGTAGCCAGCCACCAGGGGGCAATTGAGACACTTAAGCTTCACTTTTGGGGAGCAGACGTCATCCATCTTTGTACACAGTCCATGGTGACAGCAGGCAGATCTTGTTCGCCTTGGACTCAGCTGTTTCCCACTGTTTTCCAGTTTTTAGGCTAAACTAAGTTAGCTGGTTGCTAACTGTAGCTTCATATAGAGAAGTAGAATTAACTAACCTTCAACTAAAAACATTTGAGTTAAGTTCAAAAGCCTCAAAGCTTTAATAAACCATAGTGCGTAGTTCTACCACCAGCACAAACTATACACAAGTGACATCTTTGTTCTTATTACAGATGACAGCAAAATGACACGGCAGCATTGATGATCATATTTGCTAAAGCATAAAAAAAAGTACTCAAGCATTCTGCATGGATAAATTGCTTTTTTATTTTGTGTTTAGCACAGCCTCTTTAAAATACATTGTATCGTGTCGCTGACATTAAAAATATAATCCACCCTCACCTAAATGCAAATAAAAAATAAGTCTGTATATTACTGGCAAACATGAAAATAAATATGATGAATAAAAATATACTGGCAGAACTTTTACAACCTTGTCAGTCACAGTGATGGATTATGATTAATTACACTGCAATCCTGCTGGGGCATCAGTCAGACAGACTGAAACGTGGTTCTTAACTCTGATAGCTCGCTGTGCTGAACTTCAGATGAGAGAAGAAAACACACCTCATCTCAGCACCAAACCTTATTTCCCCTACATATCATACCTGAAGTAAATAGGGTAGAAATTTGATTCTGAGTCTGGAGGCATGGTTGAGAGGTTTTAGAAATATTCAAGAAATGGGTTCCAGTTCCAAAGGTTTCAGTGTGTCCCTTAAGAGAGAATATTCGTTTTTTCAAAGCTTAGAAAAAAACATAACATCATTCAACCAAATTGAAAAGGTTGGTTTTCGAGATTTACAAAATAGAAATAGTCTTCTCTTGCTTAGAGTTGTCAAGGTAAATATATTTCTGTTTCAGCCTGTACATTGTGCAATGGTTCTAATGGCGAACAGTGGTCATGGATGAATAGTGGCACATGTAGGTGAGTTGATCTTCATCTGAAATGCTGAAGACCAGAATCGTTGGTAGACAACTATGGATAAAGGGGTGAATTCAATGTATGAATCATTTCTAAACCTTTCCTTGAACTGGAGAACAAATGCTGAACTTTGTCAAGTCTGTCTGGTCAACTAAACGAATCAGTGGGAGCACCGATTTTACGCTTAAATTTTGAAATGGGACAATAACATCCATATTTAGTGGGTTATTTTTCTTATTTAAACGATACAGCACACTTAAATTTGTTCACCAAAACTAAAAAACAAATTTACCTGGGTCGAACACGGCTCATAACACCCTCTAGTGTGTCTAGACTTCGCAGGGCCCATGCTAATGTAGAGTCAGGCATTTGGGACATTTCTACATCATCAAGTGAACACTTTCTAATCAAAGTTGGGTGTGTGGGAATCTGGAAAGCTGCACCTGTTTTCAAATCTATGCTTAAACGAAACCCCTAAACCATCAAATAATCTACCAATAGGAAACATCCCTCATCCTCTCCTGCCCATCGGTTTGCCTGTGTAAGCAGGTGTGTTTTAGTCCAGTCTCCCACCATTGCATTCTAAAGGCATTTTTTGAATTTCTAGGGAGAGACACTTTGGCCAAAAGTTAGGGGTAAAGTTTCACTGAGAAAAAGTTATTGTTGCTAGAGTGAGGGAACGAGCCGAGGAAGTGTTTTCTAATGATTCTAGAAAAACCTTTGCCAAACTTAAGGCTAAAATGCCCCCTGGACCTGGTGCTTTACTGCGACACAACAATCTTATTTGACAATCCATTGATCTTCTGAAGGTTTTACGAGTAAAACTTTTCCCTCAAGATGAATATTTGGGAAGATGAGGTTGTCTAAAAAAACACGTCTTATTTTCATTAGTTGGTTGTGATTTGTAGAAAGAGAAATATAGTTTGACCTAAACATCAAATGTATTTTGTGAGGGAAAGTAACAATTAAGATATGAAGTGAGGCAGCTTGATGCTTGAGATGATGGACACATAACTTGCTGCTTTTCGATCTATAATAATGCCTATAAGCATAACACTGTAATATTAAATATATACTACATTTCTTTAGAGAAGATTTTAAATTAAATTCTGATTGTAAACCATTGAGAGCTCATGGGGTTTTTGAGCCATATTTCCTATCAAGTATAGTTATTGCATCAGTAAGGTCTGCAAGAAGTTTAGGGTTTCCTAGAGCAGTAAATTAGAAACTGAATCAGAATTATTCTCCACCACGAAAGTGTCTATAGTTTAGAAACTCCTCATCTCTCTCAACAGAGCCTCTAAACCCAGGAGGGAGGGCTGGGGGTTGGGTAGTGACGGGTGTTCTTAATATTAAGAGGAAATTCAAGATCTGAAGTAGTACATAAATTGCTATAGCCGGATATTCCACTGATACAGCAGGGCTGAGAAAGTGCATATCTATAGTATAATCCTATGGTATCTATAATTTTATGGAATCTATCAAAATAATCTATACAAGAAAGTATTAGGTTGTTCTTGGAATAAAAATATATACTTTCAGTTCATGGATTCAATCATATCCAAAGGTTGAAGCAACAATTATCTTCCAGAGATGTACATTTTTGGGATTAGAACATGTTCAAGTAATGGATGAAGAACAAACCTTTGATCCCTTAACTCTTGTCTATATCTCTTTGTATTTCTTCCACAATTGGCTGAGTATAAGAAAACTACTGGTGCTTATGCAAAAACCATCCAATAAAACAGCCTCAGGTTTAAAGGTATATGACACCCTGCTGATGTGGCAGTGAGGTGCAATATCGACAATCCCTTAGTACACAACAAATGCTAAGTCTTTGCAGCCTGAGTCATCTTTCATCCATTCTTCTGATGACGTGACAGGCCCAGGCCAATACGTCATCATAAAAGCCATTCAGTGAGTGGCTGATAGCCCAGCAGCACATTAAGGAAACTTCTTCATCTGCTAATAAAGTGCATGTTTACTGGTCATGGAATCTGGTGTGTGTGTATATGTGTATATGTGTGTGTGTGTGTGTGTGTGTGTGTGTGGGTAAGACAGGGGGGTGAGTTATAGTAATGGTCTCCGAGAGGCGAGTCTTAAATGGTGCTCTTTCAGAAGACGGACTGGCATACAACGCTTTAGCTCTCTCCCTCTCTACACACACACAAACACTCAGTGTATATACACAAGAAGTATGTGTCCCTGTGTGCACACTTGAGACTTGATGTGATATCACGCAGTATATAATAATCTAACTTCTGCTATAAAGAGCTCTGAGGGACTGCCCTCGCTATAATACCAGTCGTCTTAAAGGAGAAAACCTCTCACGTTTTCCCCCAGAATGCAAGTGTGCTAAATGGTGACTGTATAGTCCCAGGACCATGCAGGCCCTGAGGGGGTTCTGAACTAGAGGGGTGTAAAGAGAGAAGTAACAGGTGAGGATGTGGGGATGTTGGTGCTGCTCTGTGGGCTGAGATAGGACTTCTTCATGTGTATAAATAAGCATCATCATCTACAGATTGGGATTTATAGCCTGAGAGTTTAGTTTTTTTTTTTTTTACCACTTGGAGGAGGGAATTAGGGCACTGTGTGTGTGTGTGTGTGTGAGAGAGAGAGAGAGAGAGGGAGGGAGGGAGAGAGAGAGAAGTCAAGGCAACTCAGGGTGCAGCAGCAGTATAGCAGCAGTGTTGCCTTCCATGGATTGAAGGGGGGGAATCATCCGGTTCAACGTCGCCTGCTGCATGCAAATGGAGCAGACCGGGACAGAGTAATAAGGCTGGGTTGGGTTAACACGCTCATCCGCTACCCGCACTTGCGAGGAGGGGAGCTCGGCATCATCACTGAGAAATTGTCCCAGAGCCTCCATCAGAGGACTCGAACAGGTGACAAGTGCGCCCAACTTCAGTGCACCGTCGGTGCTGACGCGCTCTCAGTGCGCCTTGTCCATCGGCGCGGCACTGCGCTGCACATGTGGCCACACATGACGCATTTGCGCCCATAGCTGTTTTTCAGAAGCAGAGTTTTTTGTGGGGACGTGGGGGACACGTTATCTGACAAGTTTCCCAGCTGTTCGCTGTGTGTTCGCCATGTCCGCCAGGCTCAACTTGCGCCTTCGTCTGTAGAGCCACACGGAGCTGGGGCTCGGCGCAGCAGAAGTTGCTTGGGAAGGATAATAATGGTGATGACAAGAGTGCGGACGAGGAGACGGGGGGGTTGTTGAGCGGCTGATTTGACTCCCTTCATCATCCTCATCTTTCTTCGTGTGAGGATCCAAACTGCAGGAGGCAGCTCACTCCTCAGCATCTACACACTTCCAGGTTTTTGCTGGAGCCCGACAGAGGATCTCAGCTCCTGGAGCCACAGCTGCGTAAACTTGGCCAGATCTGGTGACATTGTAGCCTCAGTGTGCGCGCGCTGAGCAGCCTGGGTGGATATGCGACTCACTGAGGGCATTTGAGCAGCAAAAAGGGGGGATTACTATATGTCCCTCTCTTATTATAACCTCAAAATGGATGCCGACAACAGGCTGCGGAGACGCCACTGGATTAGCCCCTCTTGCGCTCATCTGCTTGACATCTAAACTGCACAGGCGTTGAAAGTTTGGATAATCTGAAAAGCTAAAAGGTGCAGGATGCAGTCTGGAGTGAAGACGCTCTCCGCGGGTGGAGGTGCGTCACTCTGCTGCCTGCTGCTCCTCTGGCTCATCTACTCCCATCTGCTCAGAGAGGGTAAGGGCAACTACAGCTATTTATTACTTTGTTAGAGGCACCATGGTCTCTGAGGGCTTCTTATTGGGATGCAGCTGCACATGCTGTGCTCCTGTGGAGAAAACCCACACAGTGACCAATAAAAGAGCCCTGCAGGGACTTGGACTATGTCTGAGCTCATAACTATCGTGACCTTGTCTTATAATCTTTTAATAGATATTCTATGATACTGAATAGCCAGTGCACAGTGGCGTTGTTGGACCTAACATTATACTGAAATAAAGACAGTATTGTTGTGACCATGTTTTCACAATAATATTCCAACAGGACTATTTCTGAAGTTAAATCAGTGAAAGAGTGTTTTCAATAGCTGTTACCTTGATGCAGCAAATCAGACTATAGGCCATGTCTTTGGGATCATAATTGAGCTTGAAGTGAAAAAGCAATACACTTGACTTGCTATTATTCCTGGTACAGACGGAAAAAAGGCCTGACACCAGCTTTCAGAGCTTTATAATTTCACTCAGGTCAAGGCTATATCCATCCATGCCATGCTTTCCACTTGAATAATACATTCACTGGTGCAATTACACCTTCACCCTGACACAGAATAGAAAGCAAAAGGATGTTTGCCTGCACTTCATTGGCTGCCATCCATGACATAACAGTTTGGATCCCGGCGCCGTCAAAGACACAGAGAAGAGGCTTAAAGCACTGGAACTTGTTGGGAGATGTTGAACACAAAGTTTGCAGATTAGATCTTTTAATCAAGTCTTTGGCCAGCAGTATAATTACTGCGTGTGGGTAGACACTGATGTGAAAAATGAACTGCCTGTGTGCTGATATGTTCTCCCTTTGCCTCTAATTTTCAGCGTTCTCTCCCAGAATGCTACTGTCACCAGCCACTTATTGCCACCCGTGATTCGAGCCGTGAATTGTTATTTGTCTTTCAAGCCTTTGCATATAATCTGAGGAGCCGAGCATCCCTCCCCTTCCCCCCAGCCTTTTATTATTGACTCATTTCCAGCCGAAAATGATCTCATTAGCGTGTTATTGTAGAAAATCACTCAATCAATCTCGTGAACTTTACCACCCTGGATATTCGGAGAATAATAGATCCTGCTGGGTTTGGCCTGATAGTTAAAACCTGTGGATGATCTGAGCTTTGACATTATCTGTATGTTGCTCACTGCTCTTCCAAGCTCTGACCTGAATTTTAAGGATGAAAGGAGTTGTATTTGTTTAAATCCATAATTGCAATCTTCAAGTCCGACTAAAATCCTCATTTGATACCAGCTGCATTGACCAGTCAGTGCTAGTTGATCTTCATCAGCTATAGTATTAGACACTGTTAACAGCATTTCTGTGCGTTTTTGACTGCACACCACTAACAGAGACAAAGCACCCTTCACTTTTCATCACTAGATACCAACTCTTTACCACTTCCACGCCTATGACCCCCGAGGGCCCTGGAAACAACGTCAAAGTGCAGGGTGAACTGGTGGGCAGAGAGAGGTGAAGCCTTGTGGTGACGAGTGGCTGCGTCGCCTCCCCGCCCTCTCCACGGCTCATCTGTCATGGCAGCCAAGACAGGAAATCAAAGCGCAGCAGCTCTGTCCGCGCACGCCATTGGGCCAGCGCCCCACCACGATGAATGGCCTGTCAGCCGCTCTCAATGTTGCCAGTTTATTCAACAATAAATTTGGAAATGTCTGGATTTTCCTCGCTGGACCAGATTTTGGGTTCAGCAGTGCAGTTAGAAAGCAGAGGCAACTTCTTTCTGCTTTGTCAACCACAAACATTGGGCTGGTGTGTAGAGGTGGTGGGGTGGACCATTTTTTTAGGTGAACGGTCACTTTGCAATTCAAATTAAACAAATTATATAAAAAGAATCCCTCAAATTGAGAAAATGTGATATAATGAGGGCAACGATTCTTGGAGCAATTTCTTAGATTTAGATCTTTTTTTCCTTGATGCTAAGGCAAGAACACATCACTGTGATTTCTGCATTTCAAGCAGATTACTCTACATCTGTTTTTGTAAGAAGTTTAAAGCTTTAAAAAAAAACAGTTTTCAGCAAAAAAGACTCATCAATATTCTTCATGCTACCTGTCCAGATTTAAACAGCAGACAGACAAACTTGGCATCTATCTGGTGAATGAAATTGAACATCTGAGAAACAAGATATTTTTCTAGGTGTTAGTCGACCAAATAAGAACTTACAGTTGAGGAAATAATGCCAAATTCATGTTAAAGGGATAGTTAATTCACTCATTATCTACTGACCACTATGCCAATGGAGGGGTGGGTGAAGTGTCCACAAAACACTTTTTGAGTTTCAGGGGTAAACAGTGTTTCAGCCAAATCCAATATAATTGAAGTAACTGGCGGACCAAAACGTAAGAACTGTTCGTGTGGCGTTATCCAAGTGTCCCTAAGCCCTGACATTCAAATTTAACTCGAAACCGATTCATTAAAACAACAATTTTACTATTTTGTCAGTTGTGTCCTGTCACTTCCAAATGGCATTAAAAATACAGTTCATGCACCTTTGACCTGTAGGTGTTTGGCACATGCTTGTTCGTCTTCTCAGGTTTGTGGAGCTTTCTGCAGAAAGGATCACACAGGCAAGGTGGATGTTGCGAGTCTGATGGAAAAAGTGAAGTGTCTGTGCTCATGTTTAAATGTCTCTGTGCTATAGATTGCATCATTTCAGTGTTGGAGAGGAAATAATGTTATCTGTGGTAAGGATGTTTGTCAGTCAGCTGAATAGATAAACAGAATTCAACCAGAGTACAGTAAAAGGTCACTTTTCATTCAGGTCAACTTCTGCAACACATTTAGACAATGGGGTCACATGCTAGACAATGGATGTACATGCTATATATATAAAGTCTGTGTCGATGGAAATGTCTGCTGTAAGTATAAAGATAGATAGATAGATAGATAGATAGATAGATAGATAGATACTTTATTGATCCCGAAGGAAATTCAGTAAAGTAAGTAGTTGTTGAGTAAATTTCCATTACAGGTCTCGTCCACCACGCAGTCCTTTCTTAGATTTTTACAAGTAATCTAGAAATGTCAAACATCACTTCCCGTGCAGCAAAATAAAAGTAAAATGTGGCGAATTATAAGTATCATTCATACAACAATAAGAACTTAATGACTTGAATTTGAATGAAACTCAACTTTGTGTCATATTAGTGCCACAGACAGTATTGCTGCGTTTTACAGCACATGTCATAGTCCGTGTCACACTGACATGCCTTGAATAATCCAATCAGTGTTGCTGAACACAAACAACAGTGACCTGAAACTGAGAGGCAGACACAACAATGTCTGTCCTGTCCTCCTGGACTGTGGCACAAGCTGTCGATGGGAATGACAGCACACATTTTATGAGAAATGTCTACAGGCTGTGTCACTAAATTTTGAGGTGACTCACTTTGGCTTTTATAGTCAGTACGTGGCTCCCCTGATGATGGACTCACACTCTGCATCTCGCTGACTCCAGGTTATCCCTGACGTTTCCTGTCCAAATGCAATTCACTGATTTTATCCCTGCAAATGATCCTGGATGCTTTCACAGCTTCAACAAATCAGCTTCTGTGTTGGCGACAGGAAGTCTTCATGGGGTGCCAGAGTGATGAATTTAAAAATCTTTAGTTGGTATTCTCTTTTAACTCGGGGAGCAGGGGCTATCCATCCAAGCATTAAACCAATCAGAGTGGCAAAGCATTACAGACTTTTTGAAGTGAAAAGGGTGATTTTCATTCCGGTCTTCTACAAGGCAGCATATTACGCATGCAAAGGGACACCTGCTTTGATTATGACCTTGGCTGTAAATTGTAAGCAAATCATCAAGGCCTGCTTCTATAGGCGGCGTAGCTGTAAAAGCATGAGCATCTTTATGGAAGAAAATGAAAAGAATTTTTACAGCTATATCAATTTGGCAGCACACAAAGCTCATACCTCATAGCCCCTGAATATGAATTCTTTGTAGCCGTCAGCTTTGACCTCCCTTGTGGTTGAGAGTAGTGCACCGCTGAGTTTATTTCTGCATTGTTATTTTCTCTGCAGAAAGCTCTGGGCTTGAAACTGTTCCATCATTGGCAGAGTGGTGTAAATGATTTGAATTATGATCCTTCAGTCTTGTGTCCTGTTCTGTTTTCTGCCTGATGCCATGGTCATATTTTCCATGGGGCCAGTTCTTAAAAATTAAAGCCACAGTGGCACATTATGGTATCATATGGGGGCATAACGGTGTCCCTGAACTCACCATTGTCTTTGTGTCTATATTAGAGCAGGAGGGCATACTGGGGGGGTTATCTGAGTGAAATGTGAAGTGACTCACCGTAGCTTTACAGTCCTCACTGCATTACATTCAGCAGAGCTGTTTCTTTTCGCAAGGCATATTGCATATTCTCTCTTTGTGCCTCGAGCTTGTATTCATCCACAACCCATTTGTCTGAGTGTACTCTACATGTTAATATCTCTTCGGCCTGGGTTATGCTGCATCACTGCAACTGCAATCTATCAGGATCCCCCATCATGTGTACTGTACGAGACACGTTGAAGGCCAGACCTGAATTACAGTGTCAGTCCTTGCAGGGGATATATATGCATGGGGAATTTTTTCCATTTTAACAATGCCCTTGGCAATGTCACACAATGGCGGCTTAGAATGTTAGGGAGTGGTAACTGTACAAGAAAAGTAAACTGCAAAAAACCTATGAGTCCTGTGCAATGATCTTAGCAAGTCATACTGCACGCTCCTGCTTTCCAGTGAGAGAGGAAACAATCTTATGCTCGTGAATGCGGCTTCCACCCAAGAGAGCGCCATCTTACTGCTGCGACGAGAACTTGGAATTTGTCATTCCCTGTGGGCTGAGTAGTGTACACACCTGACATGAGAATTTGTGAACATGAAAACAACATTTTGACAAATAGAGCACATCTCTGGCATCTCAGCTGGTGGGGGGTGCCATGCTGTTGACTCTGTCTCTGCAGCCCCACTG